AGCATCTGTANAATCATTGATGACGATGTTTAACTTTGCAAAATGCCGCTTACAAATTTAAATTGATTGATTGATTTGAATTGTAGCTCGTTTTACGTACGACTTTCAAAGAGGGTTGTCTTCTTACTCCCGCTGTCCGATAACTGGAAAACTCAAGTTGATGCATTTTTGTGCAAGTGGTTGTGATGCTGGGTGGAAAGGATATGACTGTAGAGAAAGAGGTGAATTGTTAGTTTTCGTCTTTCATTTCTTATTTTAGCGTATTGCAACTTTTGCTAGATTGTACTGTGAGGAATGGAGATTGTGGTGCTGAAATGAAATGCGTTGAATCTTTGGTAAACAATACAATGTACACAGAATGTGCCTGTCCCACCGGCACAGTTAGAAACAACTTTAACTTGTGTGAAGGTATAGATTTTTTTTAAACTGTTAGACTCTGAACCGTTTAAATTTTCCAGTTTTCAGAGAAAACCTAGCTCTGCATAAGCCAGCGTTTTTGAGTTCGGTAAATGGAGCAAACGAAGCTAAATATTTGACTGATGGGATTTATTATGACTTTAAATTTGCCCAAATCAATGACAAGAAATCGAACTGGATGGCTGTTGACCTTCAAATGTCTTATTGCATTGGATATGTCATTGTTTATAACAGATTCTCAGAGACAGATTCAAGTTTGCGATATTGAGTTTTATATTTTGTAACAGTTGAAATATTTGTTATTTAAGGTTTTTTTTTAAGTAAATTTTTTTTAGAATTATTCACCATAATTAGTCACAATGATGAGTAATTTTTATTAATTTTCAGTTATGCATCAGTTAGACAATTTCGTTGTGAGACTCAATGGAACGTTTGACACTTCAGCTGACTATGACATAAGGAAGAAGGTTAACCTTTGTGGGAGGTGGCCGTCTGAAGCTCTCAATGGAGTGAACCAGATGAAGGTTGTCTGCGAAAATTTTACACTGATATCAAAGTTTGTCATCGTACAAGAGGCAGATAAGAATTTCATTGGAAGCATGGGAGTCGTTGAGTTAGAAGTTTATAGCGTTGGTGCGTTAATTATTTCAAATATGAATGTTTAAATTCAAAATCTGGGAAACTTTTTTGTAATATTTGTATTCTATAATAATAATAATAATAATTGATAATTTTAATTTTACACGGCGAAATTTCGGAATGTTCTAAAATATATTCCAGTAACATAATTATATTTGAAT